TTAAGCCATAGAGAGGGTAAACCCACGACTTAAAATCCTGGCTTACCCTGAGGGTCCAAGGACCCAAATAATAGGGTTTTAGGGCCCAAATACCATTGATATTATAGTATTTGGGCCCTAAGACCTTATTATTTGGGTCCTTGGACCCTAAACCCGAAACCCTATATACCCCTATAACCCCCTTTAAAGGGACCCTATTATTTGGGTCCTTGGACCCTTAGGGTTACCATGAATGATCGCTGAGGCCACCAGTCAGCCCATCCATGCGGCAGACGCAGCCAAACTTGGGCCGCAACCTCACTTCCTAAGATGGTACGGCTCTTGAAAAACCACGGCGTGCAAAGGAGGTAAAGGTACTGCAGTATACAGTGCGGGGATATGGGGGGTCTCCCAAAATTAGGGAAACCTTTCTGTGGGGGTCCCTATAATAAGGACTATAGTATATTGGGGTCTATATTGGGTCACCCTATTTAGGGAAACTACCATATAACCCCTGTATAACCCACTGTCCATTTCATTGTCCATGTTCTTTTCCTTTCGATTCTCCTTTATTGAGCCTTATTTATACCCTTTTTTAGGGGAACTACCATGTAATTGTGCCTCCGAGTATGTAAGTGAAGAGGTACGCGAGGTTTTTCGCTCAGTTTCGCCATGGAGACTCGGCCTTAAACCCTAGAGCGGGCTAAGGGTTTAGGGCCCTCAACCTTGACCCTGAACCATCCTGAACCCAATCCTCGCTAGTCTCATTACTGTTCGTTTGTCTAACCCAAAACCCAAAACCCAAATCCCTAAACCCTAAACTTCGCACATCCCAAATACCTAAACCCCAGTCCCCAAACCCTAAACCCTAAAACCCTTATCCCAACAACCAAATCCCCGAACCCAAAACCCGAATGAGGGATGAAATTATGCCCGTTTGGGGGGTCCTAGGCATGGCTCGGTCCTCGAGCGATCCATCCTTTGCCAGGAAGTTGTCCAGGACAGGTTGCACGATGGGGGCGGGGGGGGGTTAGGGGGGTTTAGGGGTTTAGGGTTTGGGGTTTAGGGTTGAGGGTTTAGGTTTAGGGTCTTAGGGTTTAGGGATTGAGGGTTTACGGATTAAGAGGCTTTGGGTTGAGGGTGAAAGGACTAAGTGTTTATGGAAGAATCACTTCAGCTGCCACATCTGCGCCTGCTTCTCTTCATCCTCTTCTGAGGACGCACTAGAAACGGCAGACTTCTTAGCACTTTATTGTGCAAATATTCCATAAGTCATAGTTCCCCTACTACCCCCCCCATATTTACTACCCCCCTAAGTTCCCCGGTCAAACAAGGTTGTTTAGGCATAATGATGCCTTAGTTACGGGGAACCTAGGGGGGTTGTATAGGTGGGTGGCTAGTAAGCAAACTCATGCATGAGTGAAGCCCAGTTTTGGAGGACACTTCCTGCAGCTGTGAAAAGTTCATTCATTCCGCGTCAGATGGGCCACCCTACCATCGCTGCCCGCCGACGACTCGGTATTTGTGAAAAAATCGAAGCTACTATAATTGGGTACATATTAAGGGTATAATAATAGGAATATAGAAGGGAACTAATATAGTTACTATTATAGTCCCTCTTAAGTAGATAGAATATGGCTTTGGGTATATGGGCTGTATAGGGATACTGGAAACTACTACATTATAATAGGGTATATATTGGGTTTATAGTAGGGCAACTCGCGCATATGAATGGATGTGAGGGCTTCCCAAATCAGGGGCACTTTTTGGGTTGTCCCTATACTGCTCATTATAGTATTTGGGGGTCTATAATGAGATTCCCCTATTTAGGGAAACTGCCATGTAGACCTGATTATCATACCACATGCTGCGTACTAAGGACGCTGAGATTAGGCCAGAAGCATGTATGCTTGTTTGATGTGGCGTATCAGGATGTATTGTTATGTGGAGTTTCTCAACATTAGCCTCTAGAATTTGTGATAGGAACCCTAGAACGCCCTGGTAGTCCTCATAGACCCCTACGGTCCGCAGGGGCTCCGTCCTCTGAGTAACTTCATCCCTAAAACTTAGACCCCAAAGCCTCAACTCTAAGTTCTTCGTCTAGGCCCTCTCTATATATATATATATATATAGATATGGCCCTAGAAATTCGTATTTGATGGGTAGATACATCTAAGATGTATATTATACCTTTAGCCCATTTCCAGAGACCTAAAGGCCCCCCTGTCCCTAAACCCTAAACCCTAAACCCTAAACCAGATCAGGTCGGAACTTGGCCGAGCAGAGGAAGGCGCCACCTGAAAATTTACGAAGTTCAGCCGCATTCCTCAACACTGGGGTGGGGTGTTAAGGTTAAAGGATGTAGGGCTTAAGGACTTAGATATTCAGGGTTTAGGGTTTAGGCCTAAGTTCTGTTTTTAAGGGTGTAGGGTTTAAGGATTAGGGTTCAAGCGTTTAGGGCTTAGGGTTTATAAGGGTCCAAGTAGTCAAAGGTGATTGAGACTGACAAGCCCTACTGGGCTAGATTATCAATTCCCAACGTGTAAGGAGCTTCGGATCATGATGGGCTGAAGTGACAAAAGTAGAATAATGTTCGCGGATTAAGGTTCAGGACTCATCCTGCTAGACGAATCGTCTTACTGCTTGAGCACGAGAACAGGTATCGCTTGAGTTGCACTGACCATGGACCTTTGTGTTTGTGAGTCACTTTGAAAAGAGGGGTCTGAGGGTCTCCAGGTTTTGGTGTACATAAAGTAGAGTAGAGCTGTCATTATGAGTCTGGGTTAGCATATATTGGATTCCTAAGGAATACTGGTGAGCATGTACATTTGGTATCCAATTTGGGCACCAGGAAATAAAGATCCTACCATCTTTATATACTATGTAAATTCGTATCTGGACTCCAAGGGAAGAGTTACCTTTTGGTCATATAGGGGTCATTTTGAGAAGCTCATATGTAGCATTTGCATACCCTCAACCTTCAACCCTGGTGCCCCAGACCCTCAGACACCTGATGCTCTAATACCCTAATCTTCTATCACTCTGAATCCAAAATCCAGTTAGCCGAGCACGCTGATGACCTCGTACCCTGAAGGCTAACCACATATACCTTCTCTAAACTCTTAACCCTTACACCCTCGACCCATGCACCAGGCGTTCATCAAAGAGACGCGGGACATGGAAGATCTTAGCTTTTGGGGCGCGCAGGCGCGCAAGTCGGTATTTTGTGTGTGTTTTGGTTTTAGGGCTTAGGGTTTGGACATGGGCCTGGGGTTTTAAGGGGTATTTGGGTTTTGAGGTTTCATCTTACCTTTAGGGTTCGAGCTGAGGTTGGGGTTTGGCTTGGCATTCAGGGTATGAGGTTTAGTTTTGGGGGATGAGTTGGGGTTTTGGGTTTAGGGTTTAGGGTGTAAAGGTTGGGGGAAAGGGTTTTGGGATAAAGGTTGCAACAGGGTTGAGAGTGGAGGATTCCGGGTTTAAGGGTTGATAGTTTAGAGGGAATGATACGCCAAGGGCCTCAAACCCTAAACCCTAAACCGCAATGATTGCTGGCATCATGTTCAACTTGCATGAGTCGCTATTGAGGCGCAAAATGCAGTTTAGGGACTCAGGTGTGCATATATGTCTCCGGCAAACGAGGGCTTTCCAAGAAATTCAGGGATCCCTTACTCCTTGGGGTCCCCAGACTGAGGATTGGAGTAGGTCAGGGGCCCCTCTCTTTGTGGAACCTCCCACATATGCAAATCCATGTAAAGCGGACCATCCCAGAAGCTCTCAGCCACTAAGCCCCAAAGCCTACCCTCCTCCGAACTAACGCAAAGGCCCATGACGCACCCGCAAAGGGGCAGCAGTCTTTGCAGGGCCTCGTCAGGGGCCGGGCGGGACTTTGAAACCCTGAACCCACTGGCGCTCCCCGATCCTACCCTAGGCATTTGATATGAGCTCCTGGACCCTACATCCCAAATTGCTTGCTGCTCTCAGCCCTGAATTCCTTCCTCGTACTTTGCTAGAAATCCGGGAACGCTTTGGAGGCGCCATGATAATTAGGGGTCATGGGGGATTTTACAATGACTACTACAAGAACAACCCCGGACCAGAGTTTAGGGTCTAGGTTCTAAGCACTCAGCCCTGAGCCTGCACCTGAAAACTCAGAACAGACTTTTTAAACCCTCAACAAAACCTACGCCCTAAAACAAGAAGCCTACACCTGATTCCCAAGCTTAGGCAGAGCGCTTTTCCCTCCTACATCCTAATCCCTAAGTCCGAAACCCCGGAAACCTGCATACCCTTAGGAAATTACGATTTATAAGCCCTAAGCCCTAAACTTTAAGCCCAAGGAAAACTAAGTCATGAAGGGATTTTGATCCACAGGGCATTCCTGGCTTTGCGGCCCACTTGAAAGCTCGCTTTGGCTCCGTATTGGCCACTTGGACGCAGGGTGGGGTTTAGGGATGAGGGTTGCAGAGGGTTTAGGGTTTCGCTCTTGGGGATGCGGAATCTTGGCCCCGAACTCAAACCCTAAATCCTAAAGCCTTGAACTTAAACCCTAATTAAACCCTAAGCCTAAACCCTTAGCGGGAGAATCTGGTTACCCTAAGGGTCCTAAGGGTCCAAGTACTTGAACACCCCCTAAGTAGTACCCAAAGTAAGGAACCCATTTGGGCCCAACTTACCTATTATTTCAGCCCTTAAACCCTTAGGGTACCTACCCTAAACCCTCAACCTTGAAGACTTTTAGATAATACTATCTGAGTCCTTGGATCCTAATAGTATTGAAGTATTTGGACCCTTAGGGTTAGGTAGGTGCTCTGAGAGGCGCTCTGAGTAGAGATTCCTGTGCTAATCTTACCTTTGGTTAGCTGGGAATGAAGGAATGGAAAAGAAAATGGAAACTACTATAACAGGTTATATAGGGTTTAGGGTTTAGAAGGAATGGACAAGAACATGGATTCCATGATAATGGGTTATACATGGCCTACTACAAGGATCCATTCCTTCATTCCTAGCTCACCAAAGGTAAGTATTGAAATGACTACCGAGGCATGCTGGATACGCGGAGTACGGGGCTCGTAATGTCGTAGTTGATAATATTAGCTGTAGACTAAACTCGTTAAAGCGGGCTCTATAGGGGAGTATTACAGTGGTTTACTAAGGAGGATACCAGGAGTTTAGAGTATGGCTCATATGGTAGTTTAGTTTCCATAAATTGGGCGACCCCATTACAGAACTCCAGAATACTACAATCATTATACTAGGGACCCTAAAGGGGCCCCAAAAAGGACCCTCCTGATTTTGGGAACCCCTCCCCATGGAATGAAGTTAGGGCTAGCTGCTGAAGGCTACGGCTTTGCAAAAAGTTTGAAACAGGGCGTATTGGGAACCTAGAAAATATGTTTTGTGTCTTAACCTGGTGCTTTGTTCCTAGGAGTGTAGAGGGCATGCTAGATGGCCATGAACAACGGTAGTGGTAGAAGCCATATGCAGAGAACTGAGAAAAGGAACAGTCACAGCAAAAGACACAACAGCAAACAGCCAGGGCTTCAGTAGTCGCGCGGCTACCTGCACCAGGGCTGATTCGAAGGCTGCCGCCTCTGCGAAGTAACGGCGGCCTGTTGAAGGTAGCCAGGCATAATGTTGAGAAGCCCGATGACCCCCAACCCCTGAAATCCTGTAGGTACAACACCACCCTAAAACCCCTTAACCGTAAACCCCCAAACTGTGAACCCTAAACCCCATCTGTTCAGAATGTGATCGCAACAGGCGGGCTGGCGGATCTTAGACTCCGCGAAGAAGGGGCGAATGTCCTTTCACCCGCACCTTGGCTCCAGAGTCAAACTGTTTTGGGAAGTACAGGGGTCCAGGTAAAGAAGGGCACAGGGAGTCGCCAAAAACCTCAACCCAGAACCTGTAGGGTCTGGGGGTTGGGTATATAGTTTCAGTCCATAAGGCACAAAGGTCTTTCAAACACATGGGACTTTAGGGCTATATAGACATTGGGAAGGTGTTCTTTTGTTGGGGCTGGTTTGGGGCTGGTTTGGAGAAACAGGCGTAGAGGCAGTTTTGAAATTTAGGTATTTTGTGATACACAATGAGGACCCGTAGGTTGGAAATTGCCCTGCAGGAATAAACTGTGGGACAACCGAACAACAGGAATTTTGTAGGCCCTTTTGCAGGTTGTACGGTTGTTTTGCTGACGTGTTACGGATTGTAAAGTTCAACTTTGTGTGGGTCCTCCGCGGGTGTATAAGGCTCTTGTGCCTTCTTTTGACTTGTGCGACAGGCCTGGGTTTAGAGTCTAGGCTTTGGGGTTTAGGGTTTAATCAAGGGGTAGTGCTAGACTGCGTTGTTTACTCTTCCTACTACGAGGACCAGTCTCCTCACCAGCCGTTCTTTTGTCAACAATCATTGCCCCAGTTAGGCTGCAAGTGCCACTTCCAGCTTCAACCACTTCAACTCACATTCAAGAATGTCCTACTCTCCATACATGTTGTACCTAGATCTCACCATTTGCTTGTCTGTCGAGGGCATCGGGTTTACATTCCCACAGAGCTGACATGGAGCCCCAAAAGGCAATCTTCCAAGAGGACAGTAACGGACAGTAGAGGCCGCGTTTTGGAAGGTTCCATTTTAGTTGTAGGGACCGGATCAGTCGGACTAGAAACCTCAACCATAAGCAAGAACTTCGATCCTGAACCGTCATGCCTCCATGCCCAAACTTGTTCTTGCCTTCAGATCCTGCTAATGTCAGGTTCTGTAAGGCCGCCAGAAAATGCGGCTACCATGGCAACGTGAAAAAGCCGGCTCCTTAGATGGTGAAGCGGTGTAACCCAAAGGGTCCATGTAGATATATGGGATATACTTGGGCCTTAAAGTCAGTATATGGGAACCCCTTTGGGCCCTAAGTATATACCATATACCTACATGGACCCTTTGGGTAAGCAAGGCTCAGGATTTACGGTCGGGAGCTTCGGGCTTACGGATTCTGGCTTCTCCTTGGACCTCTTTTCTGAGGGTCATACATGAAGCTACCCATGTAATGCATGGGCGGTAGGGTTTTGCTTCACCCAGCAATGGTTCAGAGAGTGCAGCTCTGTGGGCTGCGCCCGGCTGATTTGTAGTATTTGCTATGCAGGTACTACAGCCGAGATGTTTAAGATTGGAATGCAGAGTAAAAGTCTTGAAGTTTGGTAGCGGGAGATATGTAGCTCCTTTGCAGTGGTATATTATGATCCCTTACCAAAACACAACAAACCTCAAAGAGGAAATGCATAGGAGCCCGTGGGTAAACTCTAAACGCCCCAACACTTAAAGCCCAGGGCCAACGTGAACCTGAATTGCTAAGCTAATCCTTCATATGAGGTATGGTCTTAACTCCTTAAAGGGGCTTATATGGGCGGTTATATATGGGAGCATTATAGAGGGGATAGGGGCTTAACCTAGCCAAAAACTCTGCACAGTTGGACTGAGGCTTTGGGAAGAGCTTGATGCAACCAACAAGGGCTTTATCACTCTCGCTGAGACCCGGCTCACTTATCAGAGTTAAAGGTTTATAAGGAACTCTTTAGTTCCTCTAAGGTATAATGAGTAATGTTCGGGATAGCGCAGAAACAGCTCTACCACCTGTTGTGCCTGTTGTGCATAAAACTAGCTAGATGCCATGGCTCTTGCAATGCAATCCCAGGAGATTTCAAAGCATCTGGTACTTACAAAGAGCAGCTCCTTTGTCATAAATCATGAGGCACGGGGAAGACCCATTCGCAAGATTCCAAGGTTTTCAGAACTGGGATTGGGTTTCGGCGTGGTAGGCACCCCTTCGCTGAACTAGTCTGAAAGGATTACAGCGTGACTGAACTACTCTGGGGCCTGTTTTTAAGGCATACCCAAGGGGTCCATGTAGGTATATGGGATATACTTGGGCCTTAAAGTAGGTATATGGGAACCCCTTTGGGCCCTAAGTATATACCATATACCTACATGGACCCTTTGGGATAATTACCCATCTGACGACCTCAATTGCAACCAATCACGTGTCGTCAGGAGACTTCAGGCTTCACACCGTGTTACAGAAAAAAGGGGACCCACACACACACAGAGAACCGTAAACCTCAAGCCCCTAAACCCCCCTCAACCCTACATACATGTACATTACATACTCCAACAAACTCGAGGCAATGTGAAATTAGCAAGCTGGTCCGCAAGCACAGACAGGGGCCTCAACAACTGTGGTAGAAGAGACGGTGATTATTCCGAGTACTTATTGCCACAACCATGCAATCACCCTCTCCCTACTCTTCCGATTGTTGTATATAGAATATGTTGGGAATATATAAGATTAGCTATGGAGGATAGGGCTGTAATACCCTAAGCCCTAAACCCTAAACCGCGTGGGGATTATGTAGTTCCCATGCCCAGTTTAAGGTTCACGGGGACCTCCCAGACCCAAAGCCTCAAAGGGTGTCTCTCGGCTCTCGATATGTCTTAGAACAGCAACCCAGTACACTATGTGTAATTTTTCTATATCTCCGCCATGTACCATCTCCAGGATGAAGCTAGACAGTTCTGGTCTGAGGTCTGAAGTCTAGCTGGCACTCATTTCCTGCAAGATCCTGCGAGGTACAAATCTTCATGATAATTGTTTTTCTGCAAGCCAGAGCCCCATACATCCCATTGCATAGTACATAGCACCGGCCTTTCTCTTGGGACTCCTCCAAAGCTAGCCCCTCCACGTACCCTCTGTTGCGGCCTAAGTACATGCTGTTAGGGGCCATATACCCGCAATGAAGGGTATTAGGAGGGTCTTGGCGGAGGCATCCATACTTGAAAGAACCCACCCGTCAGGGAAACAGCAGACTAGACCGCCTCCTATCCATCAGCAGAGCTGCAGCCAAGGATATTGATCCCGACGCCGTTGCCCCAACCATACTGGTTCTCAGTAGGGAATACGGGAAAATATTCTATATGATTATATAGGGGTCATATTCCCTTATTCCCTACTAAGAACCAGTAAGCAACATTTCTGCACTGATTAAGATGTTGCTGTACACTGCAGGTGATCAGAGGGAAGAAGTTTGTCCTACTGATGGCTCAGGCCTATGGCTTGCTTGTCACGGCTAGGCCCGGCCTCGGGCCTTAAAGAGCAACCTCACGTAAACATATGGAGCATCCTCAGACAGTCAATCTGGCAGCTGTTGCGCATTGACTTTCCAGTGGCGCGCCGCGATGGGTACATCCCAGGCTTCGTTAGTGTTCTGCTGTGGGCAGCGCCCTAGAAAGGCCCCTTGCGGTGGCGGAAGTGCAGCAGACGGATGGAGAGCCACGACCTGCATCAGAGCAGGATGACAGCGCTGAGGAGCAAGGCGACGAGACTGAGGACGAAGAATTTGATCTTCGGACCAAAAATGCATTCATAGAATACTGCAGGCGGGGGTCGCCGAAACGAAGGCGATCTAACAGCCTGCCTCGAGCGATGAAGGCCTGCCAGGCAGAAAAGGAAGATTCGCAGGAGGGTGTTGAGCGCAAAGATTCAGCACTTCAAGGTCATGGAGTAGATGATGCAAAGGAGAAGGTGGAGGAATTTTTGCTACAAGCAATGAACACATTCCCGGAATATCGCCGGGTGGAGTCTCCCCCGAGAAGACGAGCAAGAAGCTTTCCACGGGCCATGTAAACATGCGCGGCCGAGCCTGGTCCATTGCGATTATATGTGTCCTGCTGCTGAGACACTTCACAACTCGCAATGTTCACGAAGAGGCTCCAAAGAGTTCCCTTTTGCTTCAAGATGTATGCCTGCGGCAGAACGCTTGGGGCAGCAAAGCTGGTGAAAACCGCTGGCACATTGGCAGCTGAAGAGGCTGATCAGGGGGAGAGAGTGTCAGCGAAGACGCGTTATGGACGCTGCCGGCAGGCGCGCGCTTTGTTCAAACTATACTGTCGTGCTGTCGAATCTCGTGCCTGGAGGGCTTGCACAGAATGTTTGCATGTGTTGTTGACTAGTTGTAGCAGTAGAAGCTAAGCCCGATATATTTCTATATAACCTATTATAGTAGTTTCCATTTTCTTTTCCATTATCCTTATTAATAACCCTAATAGTAAACCCCATATTCTATCTACTTAAGGGATACGACCCAAGCAGCCTTCCGCTCCTATGGATCCTCAGGAACAGTGCTTATATAGGTGTTATATAGGGGTTATAGGGTATATATTGAAGCAATATGAGTATAACGGAAAATTAAATGGAAGCTACTGCAATGACAGAAATCCAGGTAGCAAAACAGCACGTTTCACCCTCTTTCCGGGGCAAGACTGTGTCTCACATTGCAGTTGCAAATCGCTCGGCCGCCTTCTGTGCGTTTAGCGAACTGCGTGCCCTTTGCAGTTGATTTGTTGGTTGTGTCATTTTGGGCCAACGGATGCGCGCCACTAGTCATATGCTGTACATGTTTAGCTGAAGGTCTGGAACATGGTGAGCGCCTTCAAGGTTGAGCTGATGCAGAGGTACCTCAATGTATACTGTTGCAACATTTTGGGCTCTAGGTGTGAGCCTGAGCTGCACAGCATGAAACCCCGGATTCTTTCATAAGACGATCTCGTATTGGGCCCATGGTTGGTCGCCTCCAGTTGCTTGCTGTCTGTCGTCAGGTACGGGGACATGCTTCTTGCATGGCAGGAATGCATCGATGTGCATGGCGCAGGCACCGTATGGGCAGGGAAGTTCCGTGGATGAAAAGTTTCAATGCGTTCAAGGGCTCGCAAACTTGCAAACTCACCTGTTCCAACATTGCATAGGTTTAGTTGTGCCATGGGGCGGTGTTAGATGGTGAGCCGTTCGTTCCGGACCTCGGGACTGCTTGAGCTTGCAAGGGCCGCGAAGCCGGAGAGCAAAGGCTCCTGTGTGCAAGATTGGGGGCGGTGCCCTAACACGAAACCACGACGTCAAAACAACGACAGTCCTGCACTCGAAGGCAGCCTTTTTGTTCCTGACCGGGAGACAATCCCCACCGACGCGTTTGCCACTTTGAGATCCCGAAGCCAACCTTGACAAAACTGACCCTAAGGGTCCAAGTACCTAATAATCATATACACCCAAAACCTTTACTATAATTAGTATTACCCAGAACCCAAGTACCTAATTATTGGGTACTTGGACCCTCTGGGTGATTCAGAAACCAGGGAAGGTGTCCGAGAAGGAGATCGGTGAAAGCCTCCACGAGCTCGGCCGCCAGCTCAATAATACGGAGGTCCGATTGCCGAAATGTGTTGACTCAAGCCTCTCCCCTAAGAAATCACAGCGTCATCCTACTTGTCCTTTCAGCATGCACAAATGTAGTGTGAGCGGGAGCGGCTTGGATGGGATAGTCTTGGCTCATTCGGTGTGCTGTCGGCCTTAGCGGTCATCTCTTTTTGCAAAAAAAAAACTTAGAGGGTCCAGGAACCCAACCAGAAGGTTGTAGGTCCCAAATACCATTCACATTATACTGTTTGCCCCAAAACCCAACTATTTGGGCACATGGACCTTTAGGGGAAGCGGAAAAACACATGGCAAACCGCATGAGGTCTGGAAATGGATGCCAGGCAGCCGCTGCCTTGGCACTACCGCCCTCCACATGCAATGACAATCCCTAAGGGTAAAATGACCCAAATAATAATAGGGTCCCTTTACAGGAGTTATAGGGATATATGGGGACTATATAGGGATATATAGGACCCAACTTATAGGGTTTTAGGGCCCAAATACTATAATCTGAATGGCATTTCGGACCTAAAGCCCTAATATTTGGGTCCTTGGACCCTTAGAGAATTTATCTAGTTCCAACATTTGAGAGGAGTGTGGGTCAGCGGTGGTTTCTTAGTGTTTGGGGCACCAAAAGGTGCATGGCAACCAGGGCAATAACCTGCATACATTTGTTAGCTTCCACACAAAAGAGGACCCCGCTACAGGTCCCAGTATTTCATGCTTATGATAGATTATGGGACCCACACACAATGACCTTTGATATCCAACAACATATTGTCAATGGAGCCCTAATTTTGAACTTCTACAAAAGATAGAACTTGTACTCGGCCGTACGCAACCTGAATGTCCCAGCAGCTGTGCCAAACCATTTTGCCCGCTTGTGTCCATGCCCTCTCCCAAGGCTGCTCAAGATGTTCATAAGTATGCCTGGGGCGTCGGGCACTGAGTGTCACAGCCGCAAGTCGCCTAGAAGCCTTGATGGAATGTAGGTTGCTTCTGAATGTTGTTGCGCAGGCTTGTGCCTGATAATATCTAGGAAGACATACTTTTTGCGTCTGTCCATCATTACGAATTACTCTCAAGGACTTCATTGGTTGAGTTTTGGTTAATGGACGAAGTGTTGCATGACCTGAGGTACACCTTAAGTACTAGGACTAGCAACCGTCATTGGGGATATGTGGCCACTAGTAGTGGGTACTTAAGCCCCAATAGAGGGTATGTCAGGGCTTAGGTATCTAGAACGTTGCAAGGCAAGGCATTGCCCAGCAACAGTATCACTGTGATCGCTAACTAAGCCCGGCTTCGCATAGCTTGCTGGTGTTCCACGGGGAGTGTTGGAGTGAGTATAGGGGTTTAATACAAGCATATATCGGTAAATTAAAGGGATTGCTGTATATGTATATATATGTAGAAAGGAAGAGGAGACCTTTCCCTCACCACAGCTTACATACCATTAAGCCAAGGGCTCTGACAGCAAAGGACTCACATCACCCTGAAGGACTTCGACCCAAGGGCCTATCACAGGCACGTTTGTCTGCACAGCACGAGAAATGGACTTCTCAAAACCAAGCCCTACACCCCAAATCCTAAACTCCTGAACCCCAAATCCTAAACTCCTGAACCCCGAACCCAGAACCTATCCAGCAACATGATAAGCTTTTTTTGGGACGGCCCGGATCATTGGGAAGAGATGTTGTTTTGGAGAGAGTGAGGCGTTATAATATGAGGCCATAGTTCACACTTGTTTCTTGGAGATGCGTGGCCTGTTCAGAAGATGTAGCACCCTCATTTTGAGTTCAATTATCTTGGGTTCATTGTTGCTGCAAGAAGCCTTCACGGTAAGGTTGGCAACGGAAGTATCTACCGCATCAGCGGGCTGCACGTAAAAGAAAGCCAACCTAGCGATTCATCCATTCTCGAAATGCACCAAATCGACTTTCTCAAAAATTGGATTTTGCGAAGCCCGGGCACCAAGGTTTACAGTACTATTCAGAGCAAGGAGCCAGAAATAGTTCGCCTCGGAAGCCTTGGATGCTAGGCCATTTCCCCCTGCAATAAGAGCTATTGCGAAAGGTAGTAGGAGCCATAATATCCCATACCAGCCCTGCAAGGCAATTACCGTGAGCGGGAATGACCTCCCATTGACCCCAACCGTTTTGCTACCCTAAACCCTAAACGGCCCTACACCCTACACACTTAGTCGGACCACTTCGATGCAGGTGGCAGACGTCTGCGCTTCCTTCTCTCTCCCAAGGATTGACCTGTTTGAGGTCATGGGACGTGAAAATCCACAAGAAGTTACCCCAATAGTGGAGAATCAAATGGAAAAGAAACATGGGACATGAAATGGAAGCTGGGACTCTGCGGTGGTTTATGATGTAGGCCCTACACATTGCAATCATTTTTTTTGTGAAGTACTGTATGAAAACATCTCTAACGAGACGCGAAGAAAAATCGAGCTTGCATCGACCTGCGCCTTGAATTCAGAACCCTAAATCCTAGAACCCAAGCCGCAATCCCTAACTCCGCAACCCTAAATCCAACAACCCAAACCCTATAAACCCTAAATCTGAACACGGAATCCTGGAACCGAAGCCCTAAAGCCTAAACCGGGGAGCTCCGGAAACCCTAAACCCTTAAACCCTAAACCCCTAAACCCTTAACCGCGTGGCTAATTCCTAAACCGGGGAGCTCCAGGAGATGAGAGTACCGAAGCTGCAATGACCGACGACAAGGCCGACACGCGGTTTAGGGTTTAGGGTTACAGAAGTTCGGTCAAGACTTGGGCATAGAGTTTAGGATTGCATTTGATGTTAGGGGGTTGTCATACCAGGGAGAAGGGATTACAGAAGTTGAGGCGAAACTGGGTGAACAATATTGCTAAGGGGCTTGTATTTTACCCCGAACCCTATGATAAGGAAGCTATAGAATAATTAGTCACACACTTCTATTCATTCACACTATCACTTTTAATTGCTTGTTCTGCTGATCGGTGTGGCCGCGGCAGTGACGGCACCGCTGTCGCCGGTGGCGGGCATGGCGATGGTCAATGTGATTTCGCATGCTCAGAGGTGCAGAGCACCTGCACGTGGTGCCACATAAGTGGAAATCTGCATAACGAGAATGATCATCTTTGCAAGACAAGGCACTAGTACAATGTACATGCCCCTAGACCCCATTCAATCATATAGGCCCCTTCAATACAGATACTCCTGCTCTCTGCGTCCTATAGATTCTGGATTCTGAGTACTATCCGTCTTCAGGCTTTTGTTCAGAACCTTCGCCCCTAATCCTTCATTCCCCTATCCTAAAGCCAGAACGCTCAAAATCGCCAAGACATCCTCCCCTAAACCCTAAACCCTCCTGCCCTCAGGTGCCGTAGATTGTGCCTACTCTCTCCTCCTCATCCTAAACTTTTGGAGACTGCTGGGTGAAAAGAGTATCTTCCTTGTATTTCTACTTGCGCGAGCATTTCATGGATAACAAATACCTAATATTTTTCTACCGTCCATGTGCGCACCATTCGGTCCCAGAGTCCCTCCACACCCTAAACCCTAAACTTTAAAGCCTAAGCCCTGAAGCTTAATCCCTAAACCCTAAACCCCTAAACCCCTAAACCCTTAATCCCTTA